TTATTATATTAGATATATAAGTGATTGGATCTAGTACAAGTGAGAGTTTGTAAGTGTTAGGTCCAATCAACTTTATAAACACTTTTAATATATAGTTGATGCAATTTATGGCAGATCTACTATTTAATTAATATTCAATTAAATTAAATAATAGAGTCTGTAAATTCAAATCTTTGTAATTTGTTAATCGCAAGAAGTTATGATTGTGATATACAAATTACATGTGATTGAATCTTAAATTATCTATAGTCGCAAGTAATAATGAGATACTGTATCGTTATTATGGATAGACTATCACGTGTGACATTTCTTACTTATAAAATAAGTAACTGGTCTCATAAGCAAAAATGTGGTAACCCTTTAAATGAACACTTGGATATTTTGCCTAGAACAAAACATTGAAGACCTGCTGAGAGATTCCACATGAATAACTATCTAAATGGTTAATTTCTAACGTTCAATAGTAGAATTGATCTTTTGACACTACAACAAAATGAACTTTTTATGACATCCGTTTACGACTTGCAAAAAATGCATGCCATAGAAATAGACTATTTACGGCATGCCATAAATGATTGATTACTTATAATATTTACGACATACATTCTTTGCATGACTTAAGGATAAAATATTTACGGCATACATTTTTTGCACGCCGTAAAAGACCAATTGAATTTTGGGAACATGATGGGTCACACATAAAATTAGAACTAGAAGATTGTGATTTACCAATTAATTAATTTAACAAATGTTGGATAAATTAATTAATGGGATTGCTTATTTATAGGCCCGAATAAATTAATTGGATTAGTTTGAGAATAATGCTCATTGTACACTCTGTTGTACATGGAGTTTGACATTGCATGCAAATTCAAAAATGAATGGGCGGGAAAGTGTTTTTCATTTTAAAATTAGCCATTCGTTGTGTGGCAAGTGGCACAATGTCAAATTTAATGTTAAAAAAGTGTACTTGTAGCAAGATTAATTAATTAATTCATGGACCAGATTTAATTAAATCGGTTTATTAAATATTGGATCGGGTCAGAAAACAAGCCAAGATCGTTTCAGCTTATATAAATAAGTGGTTAGAGTTTTCAATTTGTAGAGAATTTTTATTCTTACTAGCACAAGAGAAGAAAATTCTGATTCCCTACAATCTTGCTCTCTGTATGGAATTCTATTGGAGGCTGGACAATTGTACAGCTATGGGTAGAAAATCAAGGTTGCTAGAACGAAAGAAAGGCAAAGGAGCTTGCAGATTTCACAAAATGTATAATTTCTATCACAATTTCTGCCTAAACACAAAGTAGATCCTTGGTGGGAATCGAGATTTTTTTTATTTTTCGCTATGCATGATTAAGTAGATACCCAACAGGAGCCTCAATCGATCATTAGAATTGATGGACAGATGAGGCCGAATTCTGGGCTGAGATAAGGCCAGGAGAAAGCTTCTAAACTCAAATCTGCAAGGTACTTTACGCTAGAGAAGTACTTAATTGAAATGCTTGAATTAAAGAAATCACTTCTTGCTTCCTCTTTTGCTTTGGTAAATCGAAAGTTATGTTCGATTTCATGTTTATAAAAATGGTACGTTATTGTGAATATAATTATGCACATTATTGTATGATTTCCCCAGCACATTCTACCGCAATCAAATTAGCACGATCTTCCGTATAATCCTATACATGTATACAACAAATTGCGATGTAAGGAAAGCATAAATCTCAAACAAGATGCTGGAATTTGGAACATAGAAAGAGGGTTAGAAAAAAACGTGAAAAAACTAAAAAGGAAGTAAAATTTTAGAGATTCAATCTCTAAAGAACTATCTTTAGACAAAAACTTATGGTCGACACACTTTAAAAAATCTTAGCATTTTCCAATTGAAGTTCATTTTCCGACCAAAATTTCGTTGAAGCCTTTTTTTTCCTTGAAGCAGAAAGTTCAACAATAACGTACCCAACAAACTCAAATTTCAATAGGAAAAATTCTATCGTTGACATTAAAAAGCAATTTCTATTTTTTAGGTCAACAATTAGCATATCAAGTTTGATTGTCTATACAATGTTGTCACCTGACAATATATTCAATTCTTCATCGTCAAACTCAAATTTCAATAGGAAAAATTCTATTGTTGACATTAAAAAGCAATTTCTATTTTTTAGGTCAACATAATAATATCAAGTTTGATTGTCTATACAATGTTGTCACCTGACAGTATATTCAATTCTTCATCGTTTGTTTCTTGGAGGGTATTTCCTAAATGACACCAGCTTTACAACATGTCAAAGATTTAGAAAAAAAAATGCAGGAATGAATCTAGAATTTAGTAATAAATGCAATATGGCAAATTAAAGAATATCGGTGAGTAGACATGCACAAAATGTTTTATCTTGTTCATCTTTTAATTAGGATAACATGATCGTCAATAGATTTTAGTGTCTACATAAAATATTTGAATTTTATTATATAGTGCGAGATAAAATATATTTATCTATCGATTTTTCGATACTATCATCAAGAGAGTGATGATTTTCATAATAAATCGAAAATATTAATATTGACTCTTCCAATCACAAATAGCAGGAAAAAGTAAAAGGTAATTTGTTTTGGTTCTATCTTCGTCTCATATGAAATAATGAATGGTATATATTTTGCAGCGTTTTATTTGCTTCATGGGTCACTATCTCTCAAAAGGGAACTTGAAACACATGGCTGATTTCTGGCTGAATTGCCAGAGTTCTCTGGTCAGGGGTAGTGAGAAGCTAAGAGTTGAAAAACAAAAGAATAAGGTTATATTTCTAGATAAAAATTTACTTAAATTGAAGTGTTATATGAAACATTTGCCACAATACCTTGCTTATTTCCTTATTGGTGGTGTTTTGAATGATGGATAAACCTAATAAGTTGTGTTAATTTTGATTAGATTTTGAAATATTTATACAATGTAAAGAAATCTTTTTCAAAAACATAATTGGATATAGGTAATAATTCAAAATTTGAAAAATGAAAGTAATTTTCAATTGTTTGAAGAAAAGCATTTAGTCTAATTATGTCAATTTTATATTGCATTTCGCCATCACATCATAAAAACATAAAAGAAAGAAAGAAAGAAAGAAAGAAAGAAGAATCGTCATCATCTTGAGAGAGATGACAGTACTCCATTATTTTCTCTATCCAACCAGGGACGGATTCAGGATTGGATTCACGATCGGGTTACAAAATTTCAAACCGGGCTACTACGTGGAAAAAAAAAATTTTACACATAAAAAACTGATTTTTTACCCAAAAAAAAAATACCTTAAAAAAAAAATTTGGACCTGGGGGGGGGGGCTACAGCCCAGCCCCCCCCCCCCCCCCCCCATGTAATAGTACAATGTGCATGGTGCATGAGAATAATTATAATAAGCAGCAATGATGTTACAAGGAAACTAGGATCCACTAACCTTGTCGACAGTGCGCTAGGTTGTTCTCCACTGACATAGAGAAAATGTGGAAAAAAAAAATGTGAATACGATGATAAATTCACAAAGAAATAGTCTGTATGAATTACATTCTTCAATAGTCGACATCCAGTTACGAAGTCAAACTCCCCTTCCCTATTAGCTTCTTCAGCATATATTTGCACAGCAGCACAGTCGGACAAAGTGGATAATTTTATGATGTGTGTGTATGCACACATTCCTGTACGTACAGTGTATGAGTGGACATAATTCAGTTTAGTCGAGTAATCGAGGAGATATTTAAAAATGAAATCAAAGTTGATTTGTGTTCTCCTTCGTGAGAACATAGAAATTTTATATTAACTTGCTAAAAATGACGAGAAAGTGAATGAAAAATTGGATGGAAGATGTTTATATGTGTTGGAGATAAAACTATTTTAGTTTGTCCCACGTAGGAAAATGATTAGTTTATATATGGCTATATTTTTAAATGATGCAATTATTTGTGACATAGATGTTCTTTTCACCCTATTGTTGACATTAAAAAGCAATTTCTATTTTTTAGGTCAACATAATAATATCAAGTTTGATTGTCTATACAATGTTGTCACCTGACAGTATATTCAATTCTTCATCGTTTGTTTCTTGGAGGGTATTTCCTAAATGACACCAGCTTTACAACATGTCAAAGATTTAGAAAAAAAAATGCAGGAATGAATCTAGAATTTAGTAATAAATGCAATATGGCAAATTAAAGAATATCGGTGAGTAGACATGCACAAAATGTTTTATCTTGTTCATCTTTTAATTAGGATAACATGATCGTCAATAGATTTTAGTGTCTACATAAAATATTTGAATTTTATTATATAGTGCGAGATAAAATATATTTATCTATCGATTTTTCGATACTATCATCAAGAGAGTGATGATTTTCATAATAAATCGAAAATATTAATATTGACTCTTCCAATCACAAATAGCAGGAAAAAGTAAAAGGTAATTTGTTTTGGTTCTATCTTCGTCTCATATGAAATAATGAATGGTATATATTTTGCAGCGTTTTATTTGCTTCATGGGTCACTATCTCTCAAAAGGGAACTTGAAACACATGGCTGATTTCTGGCTGAATTGCCAGAGTTCTCTGGTCAGGGGTAGTGAGAAGCTAAGAGTTGAAAAACAAAAGAATAAGGTTATATTTCTAGATAAAAATTTACTTAAATTGAAGTGTTATATGAAACATTTGCCACAATACCTTGCTTATTTCCTAATTGGTGGTGTTTTGAATGATAGATAAACCTAATAAATTGTGTTAATTTTGATTAGATTTTGAAATATTTATACAATGTAAAGAAATCTTTTTCAAAAACATAATTGGATATAGGTAATAATTCAAAAATTGAAAAATGAAAGTAATTTTCAATTGTTCGAAGAAAAGCATTTAGTCTAATTATGTCAATTTTATATTGCATTTTGACATCACATCATAAAAACATAAAAGAAAGAAAGAAAGAAAGAAAGAAGAATCGTCATCATCTTGAGAGAGATGACAGTACTCCATTATTTTCTCTATCCAACAAATTATTTTAGTATTGGTCATTTGATTAGCAAAGAAAGATGCCTGTAATTTATTTAATAAGAAAGAGAACACTAATAGCTAGGGGAGGATTCACTTTTCCCCACTGTTTTGGGAGCTGAAAGAGTTAAATCCAAATCAGGAGCTACAACATTTGCAGAACTGTAAGAATTGCCATTGAAGAAGAGTTGAGAGATCCATGTGCACAAAGGGAGCTGCTCGAATCTATTCGAGAATTTTCACATTCTTGATCATTCCACTTGTTGTCTTGTCCACTTCCTGATCCGAATTAGCCTCTGAATTAGCATCACTAACCTGATCATGTCAAAAAAAAAAAAAAAAAAAACCTTGAAATAAAAATTTATGCATGTTCAATATGCTATTCAAGATAAAGAGAAATAGTTTTATATAATACAAAGTTTGTATTGTACGTGTGAAGTTAATAATATGGTGTATATATTACCATGTCGAAAAGGCTGGACCGTTTCTTCTTCTTACACAAACTGGCTTGACGGAGAAAGTACTTTTGAGCATGACTGGCAACTTGTGTTGGAGTTCTTGTAGTTACAAATTTTCTTGAAATTCCCCTCCAATCTCCTTTTCCTAGCTTCTCAAGCCCAGTTAGGAACATCCCGTGTTCTTCTTCAGTCCATGGAATTCCTAGCATTTAACCGCAACACAAATCATCACATCATCAGAGCCATTAACTTTTGCATAAGAGTTGGAAGAGAGAATCAAAGAGAGAGAGTTATGCGATAGAAGGGTATTATTTTAGAAATTATCGCAAGAAACTAACAATCTTGGAAATTAAAGCCATCAAGGGTATGTTAGGTAAGCAGCATTAGACATAAATACTGAACAGTAAAATGAATGTGATTTTAACTTATTTCTCTTCCTTAGTACCGTCTAATATTGTTAACGTCCCCAAAAAGATGGACGGGTTAATAAGAAGGATGATTAGCTCCGTATATATAAAAGAATACCTTTCTTTCTTTCCTGAACTTGGGCTAAGTGGCCATCAGAGAGAGAACCAACGAATGCCTTATCGGATTTTTCGTTGATTGAAACTATGGAAGATAGCGAAGAAGATGGGGAAGTCGACGAGGCTGCTGCAGGCAAGGAGGATGGCGACGAGCAATCCACGTTGAAGCATTTCTCGGTGGGAATGGACGAAGGAGATGATAGTTCAAGTTGTACTCCAAATAGCCTTAGTCCACCATTAACAGACCATCTAGAAATGGTACAAGTCCTTGAATTATGACCTATGTGTCCACACTGTGAGCACTTTCTTCCCATTTTCGCCATACAAAGCTCAATCTACACTGTACCTTTCTGCGTGGTGGGTGGGGGGGAGAGAGAGATTACTTTACCTGATTGTAAATTGTTACATATGTGATATTGGATGAACCTTTTGTATGTTTGGATATTTTTTCCAACTTCGGATCTCTCGAACTTCTAGGTGATAAAAGAAAGAACGAAGACCACACCCTCCATAAAATCGCATTTTTATCTTAAACCCTAAACATATTAACCCTTTTTCGAGTTTCGAAAACATACTAAATTCCACTTTCTTCTTGTTTCTTACTAAAAAATAGTAAAGAATTTTTTATTACACAACCATTTTAGATATATCTATACAGAATTAATCTCCTGCTCACTGTGGGCAAAATAAAAAATTTTCACTACTGATGTAATAGAAAGAACTGAAAGCAATGGTTCTCCAAGTATATAACTATTTTAGAGAACCATAAGGGAGTAATGATATTAATAGTCGCTCACTGTGATAGTTGTTATACGTGGCATCCTACATGGCGATTTGTAATTTGATATATTAATTTAATAGTTTTTTCTTGCCACATATGTCAAATCACTAATCTTCACATACGTGTCATGTAAAATGACTGCAATAGTGAGTGACTGTAAATAACATTATTTTAAGTAAGGTTGTCTTGTTATGTTATCAATGGAAAATTTTTATCATGTGCACAGTAAATAAGGTTTTCTTGCCATGTAAGTAGAAGGAAGTTTTTATCCTAACCACCGTGACAAAGAAATTAGATTAGTATATCTATAAACCAATTTGGAGCAAAGGGGGGCCTTGAAGTGTGCATTAATTAGTGTAGAATCAATTACAATATACAAATGTTTATTTCACTAACTAATTCGACAGATGATGACAATCATGCATGTACAAAATACAATAAGAAAATTTAGGATTTACACATAAAATAGTGTTTAACTAATTATGTTAAAAAAAATGCTGGCAATTGGCGAGTGTACCATATGGACTGTTTAATAACAAAAAGGAAATAATTTAATAAATCTAATTGAAAATTTAATATTTTAGAATTACAATAACGACCACCATATATAGTCCAAAATGGACTATTCTTGGGGGGCAGGGTCCTGGATGTTCAAGGCCCTATGTGGTGCTCCCCTATTGGGGGTCTCTTGCCCCGCACAGGCGACCCCCCAATAGGAGGGCACCACATAGGACCCTGGACATCGAGGCCCTATTCGTTTGGCAAAAGCCTTCCCAAATTATTGTCAAATACACCGTCCAACGAAACTCCACCAAGTGTACATAGTTTGAATAATTAGCTATAGTAATATTAATCAATTATTATATAAGGAAATTACTGGGGGGTGTACTCTCAATTGGAAATTTTGAAGACTTCGGTGGACTTTTTTAAAGTGATGACTTCTGTGGATTTCGTGAATTTTTATAGATTTGTATGAAATTAGTGAAAGTCTTTTGTAGACTTCTACAGAGTGTCATTTTAAAATTTTTATAAACTTTTGTAGAATTTGAAAGATTTTTGAAAATTTTCATTTGAAACAGAATTCACATGGATTTAGAATAATGGTATAAAATTTTCATATACGAGGTGTTCGTTCTCAAAATTCCCCTTTTTTTCCCATTTCCTTCCTTCTTTACATATAATAAAAAAAATTAAAAGAATAAAAATTTAAGACCTTAATTAAAGAAATAATAATAATAAATTATTAATATATATGATAAACAATAAATTTAATATTCAATATTATTAATATAATGTACTTTTAAAAATAAATAAAAATCAATATATTTAAATTTAATTATAAAATTTTCATATAAAATTTTATAATTTAATAAAAAATAGATAATTTTTACAAACAACAAAAAATTACAAGAATCCAATTTAATTTTTCATAGAAAATAGAGATAAACAAGAGAGAGAGAGGGAGAGATGAATGAAAATAAATATAATCAATATAAAAAAAATTTAATCATACCTATCCGTAGAAGGAGGATTGAAAGAAGGAATTTTTTTACTGTAAAAGTCTCTCAAAATCTCGTGATTAATGAGAGACAAATTTTAAAATTTTATATGAGTACTTTCTGTTTAAAAGTTAGTACTCTAGAAACTTTTATAAAAATCTCTAGAAATCATTAAAATTTGAATACCACAAAACTTATAGAGACTTTTGAAAAGTTTTAATTGAATATACCATAACTTTTAGAGACTTCTTAAAAGGTTATAAAAGTCCAAATTGAATACATTGTGACTTTTAGAGACTTCTTAAAAGTCCATAAAAGTTTCAATTGAATACATTAATACTTTTAGTAGGGATTACAAGTTATCCCGCGCCCAAATAGGGCAAAAAAACTCATCCCGAATAGGTTGGCGGGTCGGGTGGGGCAAGACAGGGCGCCCAGTCGCAAAGCACAAGGTGGGGCAGGGTGAGGATGCCCCGCCCCGTGAAGATAAAAATAAAAATAAAAAATTTAAATTAATTTATTTCTAGACAATTCAATCATTAAAAACTCATTTTGAATTTGTATTTTATTATCTAATAATAACATAATTTGAAACTTTCAATCCGCCCCGCCCCGCCCCGCCCCGCCCCATCTAAGCGGGGTGGGGTTTTGGCTAAACAGGGTGGCTCACCCCGAACTCATCCCGTTGCCATCACTAACTTTTAGAGAGTTTCAAAAAGTCTCAATTGAATACCTCTAAACTTTTTAAATCTCAAAAAGTCATTAAAAATTTCAATTGAATGCACCCCTAAGTTGCATATACCAGATATTTTAGCATCTAATAATAAATATTTTCTTCACCAATTTGCTTATGTCTTTTAGTTTTTATTATTAAATTGAGTGATCTATTTAAGGGTAAGCAGTCGTCGATTACTTTAATCAGTTATATCAAAACATTATCTTCATTAAAAAAGAAAAGGAAAAAAAAAAAGTACATCCATTTTCTTAGTGCACTTAAACATCACATATTAATTTTGAAAAGGAATCTCCACTTGTAGATATAAAAAAATGATGTTTTCCAAACTGTCTATGTGAACTTTTAAAGAAAAAATGCAAAGCTCTTTTAAAGGGTATTAACAACAGCTATTACGATTGCAAAATCCATAAATAATGCTTAGAAATAGAAAATACATTTTCGTTTTATTCAATTTTTGTAATTTTATAACATTTTACAAGGTTAAAATATTGCTATACTACAAGAGAGTTTTTGAGGATTTATGATCGTTGCTAAGATAAGTAAATATCATATCAATTAACTTAAAAAAATAATAATAATCATGCACTATTCAAAGTCCAACAAGCTCGAGCAATTCGATCCGTATAAAATTCAATTAAATAATTAAAATTATAATATTAATACTCTCAAACAAATCACTATCGTAAGAGATATGCTGAAAATACAAATACTGCGTCGATTAAATATGAAAGAAATAATCAACATATAAACCTTGTAATAATGTCAAAGATGTATCCAAAATCTCAATTGGACGCATGTTAAATATATATGGTTGAGACTCACACACGGATCGACTTTAGGTACAACGTTGTACAACCTTAAGAGTGTTAGTTCTCTAGCATTTTGGTATAAGATAAAACAATGACTGTATATTTGTCGTTGAATATATCACATCAAAGAAATATGATAAGATTTGTTTGGTTTTGAATTGATTTTTGAAAGCAATGATCTACACACAAAATCGCACACGTAAACTTGGATAAGGGTTCGACTTTTTTTCTTTTATGAAATACACTATACACTCATAGAGCATCTTCATGATGGTATAAAATTGGGTGTAAATTAATTTCTCGACAGTTACTTTTACATCCTCATTTATATTTCTGTAGATCTAAATTCAAATTTTGCTTAAATGGGAAGATCTAAATCCACTTTTTACCTTTTTTTTTTTTTTTTTTTCTCTAACCCAAAAATGCATTTTTTGTATCTCTACATTGGAGAGGTTTTCGACCACTTTAAAATTCTAAATTATAATTTAAATCTATTTTACATCACAATTGAAGATGTTCTTTATGGTATAATAGTACTTTAAACTTTGCGTAATTAAAATTACATACAGTTTATATGGTACTTAAAAATGTCAAGGAACTCATCTTTTTCATTCCCTAAGTTTGAAGAATATTTGTTACCAATTTCATTGTGATTGAGGCGTTTTTTTTTTCCTTTGAAGCGTGAAAGACAATTATCAAACTTCAAATTAGTTTTGCAAATTTAGCCCCCTTTTGTCCTTACTTAAAATTAGAATTTGGAAAAAAAGGGACTTTGAAATAGTTATTTTTTGAAGAATGTACGGTAAAAAAAGAAAGAAAAAAATTTAAATTTATGTGTAATATTATTTTATTCAAGAATGTATGATTGAAAATAATAAAGAGAAAAGTATATTAAAGGCCTGTTTGATTGGTTCATTTTCCATGAAATCCACCATTTTTGTGTGTTTGATTACAAGAAATTTCCATGGAATTTGTTTTCCAACTTTCCTCCACACGTGCTATTTCCATGGTTTTGTGGAAAATCAATTTTTCCAGCTTTTATTTATTTTTTATTTTTTTGGCAATTGGAACAAATTTTATCTTCAATTGTAACAAATTTTGTTCCTTTAATGACAATCTTCATAGAAAACAGCGTCAAATGAAGACCAAAAGATAGAAAATTTCAACATTTTCTATGTGAAAATTTATACTAATCAAAAACATTATAATTGACAATTCCCAAGAAAACAAATTCTAGGCAATTCAATTCTCTGAAATTCGTTTTCTTTCTACCCAAATTCTATCTTTGTAATCAAACAAACCCTAATTAAATATATATAGTTAAAATAAGGGCTTAGTTTTGATTTTTTACTAGTATGAATACCATTTTTTTTAGTTTTTAAATTTTTTTCCCCCTTCTGTTGTACTTAATAGTTGCCTTCATATAGCAAAATTGAGGCTGACTTGCTCTACTATTCTAGACTAACAGCATTAACATGGTAGATGCATGGCTACAGGCCTGTGTTTCCTTCGACAGGAGCTCCATGGGAGCTAGGTTGGGCTGGACGATCAAACGATAAAAGGCCTGGTATGCAGCGGAGAAATGAAGAAGAACACGTGATCGATTAGTTTGTTGATTCCATAGAATGCCCAACAAGATCGAAAAGAATTGAAATAAAAAATTCAGACTCTACAAAGTTATTATACACAGTTCTCCAGCTTTTCAATTTTTATAAACTAGTCAAAAAAATTTAAATCTACACATAGTAGGATCCACAATTTTTCTCACATTACATAAAACCCACATCTTATAATCTAAGAAAATAAAAAATAAAATAAAATAAATAAGAAAAGCTTTATCAAACACAAAGCCCTAGTTTGATTTGGATAAAAATTAGACTTTTAGTAGACTTCGATAAAAGCCGATGAAATATGCAGTTGAACAACTGATAAATTGTAGATCTTATGAAATTTGTGGTTGAATATAAATTTGGAGAAAAATGAATTTTAAGAAATAGAGGCCATAATGGCCACAAAGACAATAAAAGGAAAACCATGAATGGCATATTAAACGGGAATTATATTTCAACTACGTGCCTTTGTGTTTTGGACCACATCCCTTGACCAGGCAAGGGTTAATGTTTTTTGGATATTTACAAAAGCAGACATAAATTAAAAGACGCTCGAAAGGCCATAAGACTGGGGAGTCCAGCCCCACACTACCGGTCTCCCCTGACAGGTCTCGCCAGACCTGAGCTGGGCTAAGCAAGGGCCAGAGACCCCACCTTAGCATTCTAGCCACTGCACCAGAATTTCAAATCTTAGTTTGGTCCAAGATTTTTTTTACCTGATAAGCAAATCAGAAGATTTCAAATTTACCCATCGAGGCACTTCTTCATTCCTCCAACTCCATTCAAATGGAAAATTCAATTATTTCAATATTCTGAAAATGAGGGGAAAAGATAAGAGGTAATACTAATCCCTAAATATTAATCCCACACATTAACGCAAATGCGTGAGCTCTCCGAATAGTCATGTATTCTACCAATATGAATCACAAGATCCAGGCTTTCGTACTTCGGTGGGTCTCCAAAATCCTTTCACTAACCTATGTTTCATTGAAAGGATATCTATCTAACTGATGGGATGACATATGAAAAGTCAACGGGTAAAACCTTTCAACCAACTCCGTCAATTCCGCTTTTGCGGCAATATATAATCTCGGTCCCTTACCTTTATGCCTACAGCTACATTAGTTAGCCTATGAACTTTAAGGTGTATAGAGTTTCATATTTTATGTTTTAAGCTGAAGGATAGAGACTTCATTTAACTTAGGTTGATCTAGACTAGTTGCAGACTTATGTCAAGATAACCCCACTTTCGAAACGCTTTGGTAGTGCTCTTGAATCAGATCCCAAATAATGAATCAGAGCACATGGAGCCATCTCCTTAATCTTATTTTCAAAAATATAGCAGATTGACTGATATTTCTGTTAGTTAATGAAAGACCAGCAAAGCCAAAAGAGAGAAACTCATCCCTGTCCTTCCTTTTTTTCTCCCACGTGTCGCCACAAAATGGCTACGGAAAGCTTCTTCAGATGATATCTCATCACCAATTGTTGTTGAACATATTCAGCCAAAAGAAATAAAAGATATTTAGCTTTATGTGGTTACTGGTTAGTTCGCTTCTTCAGATTAAAGTAATTTTCTCAAGGGGTCCATGTATCATAGAAAAATTTACAAAAACTGAAATTGAAATATACAAGATTTGCAATCCCGTAACCGTCATGATCAAGTTCATATGTATTAACAACAACATGGGATCTCCTATACTCTGAAAAATGAAGATTTGCAGAGTAACTATTACATATTAGACTGAAAAATGATATACATTAACAATAACATGGGATCTCCTGTAATCTGAAAAATGAAGATTTGCAGAGTAACTATTACATATTAAACTAAAAAATATATTTCATTTTTCAGAAGTAGATGGTCAAGGAGTCAACAGTTAGACGAACCACATTATCACGTTTTGTGACTATGGGCTGTAGATTGGTTTTGGGTCCTTGAGTATGTGGATATTGGCCAGCTTAATGATATTGTTTCTTTCCATTGGTTAGTTCCTGGGCATACATGAAACTGTATACGTCATGGACCAATTGGATTTTGGAATTTGGGTGGCTGGAAAATATAGATTGGGCCAGTTGATTTAATTGGGCAAAAGTTATTTGGTTGGGCTTTAGTGTGTGTGTGGGTTTTAATTTGAAATTTGCATCCATTTGGTTTAGTTGAGATTGTGTGGTTTCGTTGGTTATCTGCAGTTCTGCATTATTACCCTATCTTTCGTTGTTATCATTACAGTTTATTGACATCTTCATAAAGTCCAATTCGATTTATGGTTTTCGGCTTTTCACTTTTTGTTTGTCAAACTCCCGTTGCTTCTTGCTATAGCATCGTGAGTTCGAAGGGGGATGTTAATGTAATAAGTAGGTTAGGTTAAGGGTAGTTTAGACTTTTATCTTTCCTTAGTTTTGCACAACAAACCAAAGTGATAAACAAACAAACAAACAAAAGAGAAGAAGCAAACGACAGTGAAGAATGGAGAAAAGGGCGGCCTCCAAACTTAGGGCTAACAAATGAGATTACATTGGTTTATATAGTACAAAACTAAGGAAAGAGAAAAGTCTAAACTACCCTTAACCTAATCTACTTATTACATTAACATCCTCCCTCGAACTCACGATGCTACAGCAAGAAGCAACGGGAATTTGACAAACAAAAAGCGAAAAGCCGAAAACCATAAACCGAATTGGATTTCATGAAGATGTTAACAAACTGCAATGATAACAACGAAAGATAGGGTAATAATGCAAAACTGCAGATAATCAACGAAACCACACAATCTCAGCTAAACCGAACGGATGCAAATTTCAAATTCCAAATGAACTTGACATACCAATTTCAAGAACTGACTATGCCAAATTCCAAACTCCAGATAGACTGGACAAATACCAAACGAAATTTCTAATCCCATAAACTGGGCAAACAAACGAAATTTTCAAATCCCGTTAAACGGGCATCAAATGAAATTTGCATCCTAAACTGAGCATCAAACCAAATTTTCAATCCCAAAAACTGGGCATACGCCAAAACCAACAACACATCCCCCATCTTTCCTGCCTATCTTCAGCAACTCATCAAGCACGCAACGTATCACTTTCCCCACCAAAAAGACCCTTTTCTTTAATACCCCCTATACACATGGCCAAAAGACAAGAAGCCCAATAAACAAAATATCCAAACCCAACAAGGAATTCAATTAATCCAAATCCAAATTAAAACCCAAACACACACTAAAGCCCAACCAAATAATTTTGCCCAATTAAATCAACTAGTCCAATCTATATTTTCCAGCCACCCAAATTCCAAAATCCAATTGGCCCATGACATATACAGTTTCATGTATGCCCAAGAACTAATCAATGGAAAGAAACAATATCATTAAGCTGGCCAATATCCGCATACTCAAGGACCCAAAACCAATCTACAGCCCATAGTCACAAAAGAGTCCAGAGCACAAAGGCCCAAATCACACCATCTCTACTTTCCAAACCCTCACAGCCTCTTCACCATCCTCTCTCACCACGTTTACTACGTACCCAACAGAAGTGCCTCCCATCATTCCATAATTGCCAAGGAAATGTCGCCACAGAACCTCTACCACCAAATTGACCAAAAGCAGCCGATTGAAACTTCCCCATCGAACCCCATCTCAAACCAGTTCACCGCACCTTCGCCATTACCATCTTGCCAAACCACCAACCGACCAGCGTTCATCACAACAACCTATCAGTAATACTTTCTTGATACAGCCCAAGCCGACTCCGAAAAACTGCCATCAAACGTCGGGTTCACCATGGTCGGCCACCACAAGCGGCTTTACAAACCTCGCTTTACTTATCCCAATCCTCTCGGCACCATCCTTCCACAACCATCAGATTTCCATTACTCCCAGAAGACCAAAGCCTCGCCCAGAAACATACAAACACCCGACCAAAAATTTCAAACCACAGTAGCTGCTGCCCCATATTTTCCAAAACATATCAAAAAGTTTTAACCACCGGACAAGCGGCACGAGGCCGAGAAAGGAACCTTCCAAATTTATCCCAAAATCCAATCCGCTCTGATACCATGTAGAAAACAACAAATCAAAGTGATAAACAAACAAACAAACAAAAGAGAAGAAGCAAACGGCAGTGAACAATGGAGAAAGGGGCAGCCTCCAAACTTAGGGCTAACAAATGAGATTACAATGGTTTATATAGTACAAAACTAAGGAAAGATAAAAGTCTAAACTACCCTTAACCTAACCTACTTATTACATTAACAATCTATAGGGTAGTTTCTCAATTGTACAATGATTAAGTTCAAGTTATATTGAGGAGATCAGCAAATGATCATCACTATTGAGAAAGATGTTTATCTTGAAAATGTTTTGAAGTCAAATTCACGGGATTTTCCTGAAGTAAAAGGGAACCAATCAGAATGTTCCTTTAGAACATGAAAATATTGAATATAATAACAAAGTTCTCATATAAATACCACATCATGCAGGCTAACCTGGAAGTCGAAACAACCTTGGAAGAATGGTGCTCTGAAACCAAGCTGACCCTGTAAATGCAAATCATTCTGGAATTACAGCGTTTCTACATGAATCACTCAGTTAATAAAATGAGCAATATTTATTAAAATCATTACCTGTGTGTGAAGACTATGTTGAGAAGTATGATTTCCAACACGTGTCGATGCTAAGTCCAAATTGTCCTAGGATAAAAATGAAAAAGCAACAAATATTCAGCCTACATCAATTTGAATCTGTAAAATAATTTACAAGCACCAGGGAGATCATCTTTTAGGCCTGAATATAATTTTTATAGCAAATACACTACATCAGAGTAACAACAAAAGCTAATACCAGCAGTCCCTGCATACTCGGTTGGTTGTCATAAAATGAATCCCGCAACGAAGAGAGAGAATTTAATTGCCCCTGCCGACATCACCAATCTAATGATCAATTTACACGTGAATGCCAAATCCTCTGGGCTAATATATCTTAGGGTGGAAACAGAAAACACTACCAATGCTTGAACACTCTGGTGGACACCACAATAGCTAGATATAGTTGGCCGTCTCGAACCTAATACCTACAACAGTATGTAAGTATGCATCATGGTATACACAAGGAAGCTTGTTTACAATATTTGTTAACGAAACTCAATACATGCCTCACCATCCCTTGCATATCCTGCTGCGGAACATAAGTGTTGTCTAGGCTGAGTGCTTTAGGACTCACCTGCTCCTAAATATACAGAGTAATATAGGTGACTACAGATAAAATGTGCATAGCATGAAGAATAAGTAGAAATGCAGTGCATTTAAACCATGTGCTGGCTGTTATCCAGAATCCGAACTGATAATGCTTCAACCTCGCCTCGTCCCTACAAGACACCAAAAAATATCAATTAATCTAATAATAATTTTGTAATCAAAAGTTCACTCTGATTGTAGCCACAGCATCTATGGAAAGTAAAGCGCAGGCAGACCTTCCCCTTTCTTGAAGCTTTCTTTTTCTTTGATGCATTGCTCATTATGTTGATGTCCTGTTTCTCTCCGTTATCTTGAAAACCTAGAGTGGTCAATTTGTTAGTATCTAAAACACTTCTAATAGAACTGTTTACACCCACACAATGTTTCAAAGCTGCATCTACTGCATAACATGCCACATCATAAGCTTCCCGAGATAAAGAGCCTTCTTCACCCAATTTAGTAGCAAGTTTGCAAAGATCATTGAGACGGTGGATCCTAGAATTATGCCTATTTGATGCTCTCCAGTTGCTCTCCCCGATTTTTGCATTTCTTGTCCATCGCTTTAATATATAGTCAGATTTGATAAAGGAGACACCAGATATTTGGAGAACAGACATGGCATGTCTACAAAGAAAACCAATATATTCAAAAGAACGACATGAACAACAGATAACATCTTCTCCTTTATTCCAGAGTGCAATAAAATTGTGCTGCTTTTGTAAATCATCCACCTGAAATGTTACAGAGCCTGCATCTTCACTTTCCCTTTCAGTATTACAAGAATCAATTCCCAAAACTTCAGCTTGAAATTTCTGAAAAATTGCATGTGTATACACTGCAGACATTTGCCTCTCCAAAGGTGAGTGAGATTTTAATGTAGGTTCTATATTCCGATTTTCAAACTCAGCTTTAGCTTCCTCTTCATACCTTTCATGCAAAAATTCTTTGAACTTAACAATGAAATCCTTGAAAGTAGTTTCCTTATGAATGTATTTGTCAAAGAAAGAGGAGACACTTTGAGATCGTTCTATTGTACATAATCCTCCAAGAAAAATATCCCTCATGTATGTTGGAACCCACTTTCCACGGTCTTCATACAAGGAACGAATCCATTCATCATCCCCAAGTTCAAATTTATCAACCATTTTCTGCCATCTCTTTTCAAATGCTTCATCTGACAAGGATTTATATATGCATTTGTCAAATTTTCTTGTGAAATTTTCAAAACAACTGACTTTATTACCTATATTTGGATGAATTTCAGCATATACATGCCAAAGACAAAAACGATGGGATGCATCAGGAAAAACTTCTTCTGTAGCTTCTCGCATTGACTTTTCATAATCAGTAATAACTACTTTAGGACTTCGCCCAGACATTGCTCTAACCCAAGTGCGCATCAACCAAACAAAAGTCGATGGTGTTTCATCCCCAATTAAGGCACATCCAAGCAATAAGTACTGAAAGTGATGATTCACCCCCAAAATAGGTACAAAGGGGATCTTATATTTGTTCTTGATGTAGTAAGTGTCAAAGAAAACTACATCATTAAAATATACATAATCATGTATACCTTGTGGATCAACCCAAAATACATTTTTCATTCGTGTCTCTTTATCAAAATCTATCGCATAGTAAAAGTTTGGAGTCTTCGCTTGTTTAAGCATTAAATAATCAAGCAATAATTGCAAATCATCCTCATCCAATACCAATCGCATTCCTTCTCTTCGACAGACAGAATTATAGTTCTGCTTGTTCCTTCCCCTGATAGCATAATAAACATCATCAGGACAAATATCGTGATTATGCCCTTCCGCGAAACTATATACATGCCACTTCCCATCTGCCCTTCTTTTTATGTGCATGTTTGCTTTGCAGTCTGTCTTGGGACACGACCGTGGATTAACAGTCATGCTACCCAGCTGCTTGCTCCCAAATCTAGAACAAGCAATTTTTATATCAATAAACTTGCCCGACTTTTTTGACCTTCGGCTGGATTTGATAGTGATACCAAATCCAACAGATTGTGCGTAGTCTCTATAAAACGAATATGCTGCCTCCTTCGTTTCAAATTCCATGCCATTTCGAGGCTTCTTATTGTTAACCACATTAAAATCCACTCCATCCCCAGTATTCTCAACATCAGTTTCACCCAAACTATTGCCAATATCCTTAGTACTTGTGTCTCGGCTAGAAGGCAGTTCCATATCCATCTCCATCTGTTGAAAATAGCTAAAATTTTATTTGGTAAAAATGTTCAATTTCACAAAAAAACCCTTATAAAAAATTTCAATTTTCTAAATCTAAGTTGGTAGACCAAATGTTTAAATGAGCTTCACCATAAAAAGTATAAATAGAAGAATTCACTTTACTACACAAAACAAGTTCAAAATCCAACAATAATTATATCGAGAACCCACTTCTGTTCAATTTTTCTATCGTTTGTTCATCTCGTATGAAGCTAAATGACATACCCATCTGGAAAAATTGAATTAATTTATACAACCAAGAACATGAAAATCATACAAATATGCACCTGTATATAAACGAATGTATTCAAACTTACTGTACTATGCTTTGACCGACTAACACTCGCAATCTGCGTAGTACTCTCACCCTGAAAATTTCACTTGTTTCTGAAAGAGTTCATAATTTCATCTCTTTACATTTTAGTGTAATTATTGGTCACACCCTCGTAGTTTTTATAATATCGGGCAGGTGCTCATTTTCATTTAACAGTCATATCTACCCTAAAAATTATAGAACCTGTTTGAGCCACATTATAATGAAAATGAGAATGAGAAATAGGGCCGTTATGGATTCCACACCAGAGATAGAAATTAAAAAATGGTGGCTTGATGTGATGGATAACGGTCATATTTTTCATTTTAATGAGGTAAAAATGTGACTCAAACAGGGACATAATTCACTATCTATGATTACATGCATTGAAGATATTACAATTTTGAAAACTTCACGACCATCAATATTCCATTGTTTTCGTTATAACACGTGATTTACTAAGACTTCCATAATATGTTTTTAATGCAAATGGTCAAGTTTTGTTCGAGTTCAAATCACGACTCAAAGATCTATATTAAAAAGTATAATGTGTATACAAGATTGAGAAGGCGTTGAGTGTCAAGTTTAAAATCAATATTCTCAAATTGCATCTGATCAAATTAAATGATTTTGAAATTTATCATTATTTTCTTAATAGTTTTCAATTTTTTTTTTTATTTTGTATAGTGACAAGTTGTTCATATACAATTTTAACTCTACATACTCAAAATTTAAGTAGCCAATTTCAAGCTTCAAAAAAAAAAAAAAAAAAAAAAAAAAAGAAGAAGGAAGATGAGGGTTTTCTAAAAAATAAATAAATAAAAATAGTAGCCTTGTAATCGAGCTAGGGTCAACCCACTAGTTGCGCTCATGCTCTAACAAGCATGAGCTCAACTTATCTAGGCTCGCGTGGGCAAGGGCCAAACTGGCTCAGATCGGCCCATTGCTATCCTACAAATGGATAATGTTGTTATTGTTAAAAATATTTTTTCAGAGGTCCTAGAGAAACTAATTGAGGATAATCGGTGGCTAAAGTTTGATGTTGAGGCCTAATTATGTGGATGCTCTCAAGGTGAGTTTGAGGTAGATTAAAAGAAAAAGACGATGTTCTAATCTAAGGTGTGGATTCTGATGAAGGAAAAAAGAGTAATGTTATGTTGCGACCCCAATCTAGGCAGCACTAAATGATAGGTTAAAAGAGAAGTAAAATTAAATGAGTCATTTAATTCTATCTATTAATTAATGCTACATTAGCACAGCCTAGATTGGGGCTATAATCCCAGTGGGCTAAATGGTCTCATTTGGAAGTAGAGATGTGGTAAAGGCCAAGAGATAGTCTAATTTAGCTGATATGGTTTGGTTTTAGTCTTCCAGTTTTGACATTCATGCTTTCCCCTGGTACTTGTAGTATCACCCATATAGTAAGAGAATTTTTCAACTCACCATTTACGACATCAGATACATGCTTTTTTAAACTAAGATTTTTAAGCATGTTCTTCCCATTTTCTATCATCAATGTGGTATTAACTCTCAAAGGCTCTTTCGGCCATTTTTCTCAGTCCATTGAGGTAACACTCACACACGGTTGCTTGGTTTTCCACTAGGGATGTCAACTAATCGAGTGAGCCAGCTCGCGAGTCGAAACTCCTTGTTTTGGGCTTAGCTCAAGCTTTTTTTTCGCCCGAGTCATGCCCAGTGAAAGTTCAGCCAAAAAATTAAAGGTCGACCCGATCTTTTCGGCTTAAGCTTTATCGAGTCGAACCTGTTCAATTTTTTTTTCCCAACAGTAGAAATGCTACCTCAACAAGTAGCTTTATTGGCAACTATAAAGCTACCAACAAATCTGCTGTCCGGTTAATTTTTTTTGGCTATCTTTCATTTTTTTAATTTAAACAGTTGAGCACATGGGCCGGGCCGGGCTGGGGTCAAGCTGACTCCCTAAAATGGGGCTTGGCCCAAGCTTTGAGCTGGGCTGACTCGGTCCGGATAACCAGATTGCTATCTCTACAGACCACTCCTTTTGGAGTCTGAAATTTCATGCAAAGATGATGAATGAATGTCACTGCTTGTAATTACTTAAGGATAGGCCTTCCTAAGATTCCATTAAACACATACCTATTGTCCATTATCAAGAAATCTATATATTCATATAACATTGTTGGATTCTTGCCCAATTCAATGGTTAGAGTAATTTATCCCCTTGGGACCAAACTATCACCAGTAAACATCTATAAGGGCTCGGCATGGGTACCCAGGGATGATCAAACTTCATTTGGTCGAAAGCACTTTTGAACAAAATATTCATAGAGCTATCATTATCTACCAACATACAGTCAAGGTGTAGAAGTCCGAGAAATAAAATGAGATTTGACTATTATTTTGTAATGATTTAGTACCACGAGCCTAACCCATTTAAGAATATGCTATGGAAGTTCAACCCATTTAAGATGATGAAAGCCCAAACCATAAGTTAATTAAAAGTCCAACAATTTAAGAGACGAGCTATGGAAGTTCAACCCATTTAAGATGATGAAAGTCCAAACCATAAGTTAATTAAAAGCCCAACAATTTAAGAGATTAAGGTTAAGTAAATTTGATTAGAAAGATTTAATGAATAACTGAGTTGCCTCAATAGTTATTTACATGATATTTCATATAGACAACCTAGGTTCAATCACCATGTAGATGTTTTAATTTTTTATGGCTTAAAAACTCTTCAAATTCTTAGTTAAAAGCCAAATTTAATGATAATATAACTCTCCCATTTAGTTTTTCATTAAAAATGAAAGTTACTTTTTCAGTACACCCTTCCTCAAATCTGAATTTAATCTTATTTTCTCTCAAAAAATATATTTCATATCCAGTTAAGTTTAAGGGAATAACAAGGGCGAGAAGAAGAAATATTTTATGTATATTTTGTTCTTTTATATCTAAGAAAATTAAAAGTAGGTAGAGGTGCAAGTGTTTATTTCATTTTCAAATTATGATTTTTCGATAAATGTTTGAATGAAATGGAACCTCTGGGTATAGTGCTTTGGCACTACAATAATTTGAATGATCATTCTCTGACTCCACGTGTTATGATAATGGTATAGTAATTGAATTTTGTAGAAAATCCATCCACATGCGATGGTATGAATCTATAGTTCGAAATTTCTAATTTGATAATGAAATACACCGATGATATCTATTGAGTTTCAAACTCATGGATTAATTCCCTTCCTACAAGTTGAATGGACTTCATTAGGGCGTGAATAATGGTAGAGAATGATACAACATTCTATGGAGGAAGCCGGTGATTTAATAATTTTAATTAGATCAGGAAATGTTGACGGTTGTTTCTTTTTATATGGATTTCTATGGACGTCATATGTGGAACTATTTTAAAAATATTTTTTCATGAATAAGTTATGTTAAAAGTAGATATGTATTATAGAAGTTAATTTACTAAATACCGTTTACAAAAAGAAAGAAAAAAGAAGTTAATGTATTGATGTCTTCTAAAAATTTCAGTTTATGTCTTGACTTTAAAAATTTATAGCTCACTCGTTACTTGGAATTTTTAGACAAAACCATTAGCGTTGGATAACCACATAGGTTAGTTACTGAATAAACTTGGAATCATGTCAATCTGATATTAGTAGAATTTTATATGTCACTTAAGGTAAACTGCACTGGCTAGTGTTGCTGTTTTCCAACTTTAGCCTTGACTTCAGAAATTCATAACACGACTGTTACTTGGAATTTCTAGATGAAACCAATTGGATTTGATATTTTCATGGATTAGCTACTGAATAAATTTGAATAATGTGATTTTGATGTATGTGGAATTTTATACGTTATTTTAAGTGAATTACACCGGTTTACCTTTCACCCGGGTCGCTGCTGAATTTTGAAAAAAAATTTAATATCTCATATGATCCCGACGGAAGCTAATTTTTGACCTATGTAAGGAATTTTCTACTTTACATTAAAATTTGATGAAATTTTGAGGTTGATAGTTATGCAAACGAATTTATTTTGACATTTACCCTATAAAATTAAAAAAGAAAACAACTTGTTTAGTTAGTGTTAGCGGGATTTTGGGAAATATTTTAATGCCTCATATGTCACCGATAGAAGCCAAATTTTGGATATGTCATATTATAAGAGGTTCCGTACTTTTTCTTAAAATTTTATGAAATTTCGACATTGATAACTATGCTAACGAGTTTATTTTAAAACTTATCGTGCGTAAATGAGAAATCAAAACAGATTACTCTTTTTCTTACTTTCTAAAGTAGTTCACACATGGAAAACTATTATACCTTTTATTTGTTTGGTAGATATGTACTTGCCACTATTCACGTAATAAAATAGGCATATGCATGAATTTGCTCGACTCTTTTTTTCTTTAATAAATGCCTTTGAAATTATGTTAATATTATGTTACTATCTAAAAGTAGATTTTAATGGAAAATTCATTGGTGTATATATATATAGTTCTTAAGGAATTTTGTAGCTTAAATTCTTATATTAAATTATTATTTTAAATAATTTTTAAGTCTAGAGTTAAAGTAAAATTGTTTGAGTGACGCTTTCGTACCAACAAATTGGGACATTACATAAGGCCATTGTGAGCTATTGCTGCTCGTACAACCAATGTATCGCAATTGGACTATATAATTCCTTCTTCATCATCATCATTAAACATAATTGGAAGAGATGCGATTTTAGGATTACCTTGGATCCAAAAGTTCTCCAGTGCAAGTTTTTTTAGCAACTTGAGCATAATTTATATGTACGTTTATTATTTTCTCAACGACATAAGGGCGTTCAATTATGGTGTTTATCTCTTTTATTGGAGGTCTGGAGTTTGGACCATTGATTAATGCATGTGACAATCCTATGTACCATGGCCTCATTCCTCACCCTAGTCCTCTTGTACCTAAATATGGTGATTTTAAGCTTTTGAAGGCTTCGTGCCCAATTCCCTACTAGCTTTATAGACTTGCCATTTTTAGCACTTCAAAGCACTCACCCGAATTGTGATATCTGGTATGATGAATTTTCGACACTTTGATTTCAAAGCTTTAGGAAAATGATTTTG